TACACGTATATAAGTGTTAGGTTATATATAAGTGTATATATGTGTTTGTGATCACTGAAATATGTTTTCCTTGCCTGACCACTGGCTTTTCTCAAGAATTTACATTTTAAGGATATCTACCTGTTTAGTTTTCAATTCCAAATCTTTTTAATAATGCTAATTTTCTCAAATACTCTTCAAAACTCTTAGTATACAATACGATTAAGAATTTAAGAAATTTACAGCAGACTTGAGGCTACTCTGTGGGTCAAGTGATGTTCAGAATGGACAACGCCACTGTTGCCAGTTCAGATTAATTAGTATTCCAGCTATTACAGTTATGTACTGCTATAAGAAGTGAGAAATGTCCAGTGTGCCCCTTTTTCAGAGTAGCAAAGGAATTTTCCCCCTGTTTGCCTTTGGATTACTTTCTGTCTCCCTATTTATTGATCTTTTAATTGGGATATCTATGCGCTATTTCCTTACAGAAATTATGGCTCACTGGCCTCATTGCTATCGGGTCCTGTGCCTGATTCCAAGCTGGAGTATGCCTGGTCGGAATCGCTGTGAGTTTTTCTGAGTTCTCCAGTGGATCCCACCTTGCTGAGATATTCAGGTTAGAGATGATTGGCTACTCAGAGTTTACTCACTAATTCCCATTATCCAACCACATACTGTATTTTCTCTCCAATCCCCCAGTGCTGTAAGAGCTTGCTTTGAGGTTCTGACTACTTGGTCATTAAAAATCCTATGGCACTTTTTGTAAGAATAGGAGTTTCTGGTATCTGAAGTCCACTCTGTTTTTGTACAATCTGACCTACCTTAACTTCCCCATTAATTTGTGATCCTATTAATTTCCCATTAAAGTGATCTTTCATTTTTCTACCTGATCTTCTGTGTAGTGGGACAGAATGGCTGTATTTCAGTGGTGGATGAGAAGGGTTGTCTGCTAAATAAGAGTCTCCCTGTAAATTTAGGGATGAAAATGTAGGCTTTAATAATTTTAATCGTGAAAGCCACTGTTGGTCTTTCAGATGGTGAGTCCTTCTAGCAGCTATATTGACTACAATAAAATTGATTAATACAAAGAACAAAGTGAGAATATTACCTTGCACGGTCTTATTTTAATAAGTCATACAAGTATGTTGAAAACATATATTGCCAAAACAGTTAAGTATTACTGCTTTAAAATTGTTGTGAACTAAGAAATAACGTGACAATTAATAAATTAAGTGTTATTTTGCCCATCAAGCTATTTTTGTACATCTCAATCAGATTTTTGGAACTCTAAATTTCAGACAATTATCATTATATCTCAGTTTGTTTAAATCTGAGTTTTCCATGTGGCAGAATGAGTGTACTACCGTATTCAGATAACATAACATTCAATAACATACTAATACTAATAACAGGTTTTCCTCCCTGAAAATAACTAATAACAGGGGTGTTCACTATGAATGTGCAAATATCTAGGAGCTCATATGACAGTATAAAAATAATTTGAATAAACAGTTTAGTACTACTAATGTATATATAATATACTGAAAGACAACTCAAATATTTTTAAAACTGAGAACAGGCTTCTTTCAACAGTGTTGTCAGAGTCTAAACAAGCTACTTTGCCTAGTTTTTGGAGCAGATACTTTATATATAAGATAGCTTTTTTCATGAAATGGCTGAAGGACATTCTTGAATCAGTTAGCTTTTATCACCCAAATGAGCTCAATTGGCCAAATCATTTACTCTTGTCTGCAGACTTTGTCCATTTTCCTAATTCTTTTAAATATGATGTGGAATCAGACATGGATACTCATGTTATGCCAAAGAAAATGGAATGCACACTACACTATTAATTACTGTATTGAACGCACCACAAGTGTAATCCACTGTATGCTAGTGTCCTGTAGAGATGAGGTTAAAAGTCGCTAAAAGCTTTGTCACTGCGGTGGCAAAATGTTTTTACAGTAAATTGGAACAAGTAAGGTTTTGTTCTGTGCTGACAAAAAATGAAAAGAAACACAGCGTTTTGGCTGTGGAGCCTTCTTCGGGTGCCTTCTTCACCCTTCTTCTTCTTCAAGGCTCCACAGCCGAAACTTTTTTTTCTTTGTTTTTCAGCATGGAATAAGTCTTTACTTGTTCCTTTGCAGCCTATGCATGCTGATGCAACTACCTCCTTGAACTGTGTTTTTACATTGCCTGCTAGCTGTGATATTGAACTTGAAAACAGCTCTGCATGGGGAATCTGTTCCAGGACTCCTCTTCTCCGTCAGGAGAAAAAGTAATTTAGAAGAGCCAACTATTCACTTCCATACTAGACCAGTGTTTGTACTGTAGAATTTTATTAAATAATAATTTAATATTATGGTGCTTCCAGTGTCCTGGAGTCCTTGATTAAAGCTGTTGGCACCATGAACTCCTAATACCAAATACAAAGGCTTTTTAGACAAAAACCTAGCCCAGGAGGCTTAAACATGGCACAACTGGATCTTCCAAGACAATGAATCCAGACACACATCACAAAGAAGTGGTTAAAATCATTAACATTCATTAGCATTTTGCCATCTCAGACCTGCTTACTTTGGTGTTCATTGTCCTCAACTGAGGGCGGGACATAATCCCAGACCGAAGGATATATAAGACTAGAAATATTCTGTATGGAAAAGGCCTCAGTGCTGTTATCCTTGCAAGGCAAGCTTGCACAAAGTACGGAAATTTAATTCTTTGAGAAAAGCGATTTTGGTTGTGAAAATTTCATCATAACGATCATTTTTATTCAAGATAATTGAATCGTTAATAAAGCACAATATATTACACATGGTGGGAAAATAACAGTGCATCTTACCTGTGTTGTTTATTTTATG